AAAAATTTTTTGTGGCCCCCGCCCCCCCCTAAATCCCAGAGTCTATCTCGCCCCCCCCCCCCTCCCCCCCCCCCCTTATCTGAAGGTCTGAATCTGCCACTGTAGCAGATTGATAGAATTGATAAATTTCATATGGGAACATTATCAAAAGATACAATCCTCAAGTGTTATATGGTCTTTAAATATGGTGTACCTGCAAGAAAGCAAGACAAGGGACAAAATCATGGACTTCTTTATGCTACTTTGTTTAGCTAATTAACAGCAGCAAATTGAAGTATCTTGGTGACCAGAACACATACCATTTTTTCAGTATAATTCTGTCCCATTTTGTTCCGGTCTGAGCTGCAATTAGTTTTTTCAAATCTCCCACTGTGTCATCTGGACTAGATTATGAGTCAAGAATTATCAACAAACCTGTTGCACATGTAGTTGAAGTTGTAATATTGAATAGTTCAACCAGCAACTGTAAAATAAAATTAATGACAGCCCTATGCATTTCAGACAGCTAGGGTGTGTTTGGAGAGTAAAGTGTGCACCACATATTCTTTGTTTTAAGCAGCATGAAATCAGAGAAAATTATCATTATTTATCACTCAGCATAATTATCTCAGGGATAGAGAGGACTACCTTTCAAGACAGGAGGATTAAAAATGCCTTTTTTATCTTCCTTTACATTGTTTTAGTGAATTAGAGTATCATTTTGTGTTGTCATTACTGATCTTAGACTAAAACCTGAATCAATCATTTTATACGCTCCAGTTACATGTTCCTTGACAAAAACATTTTCTTAAAATCTGGCTTAAACCTGGGTTTAAACTTGACTATCTATCAAGCCTTTTGGGGAACCTGGTCCTCACCTGGACTGCAAATAACTTTATAACTTATTTCCTCGATTAAGCAGCTAAGCACACAGCACACACTCTAATAAGCCTCCTCAACCCCTCGAATAAGCGCCAACCCACTAGGCCAAAACTATATCACACAGGGGCCCCCTCTCCTATCATTTTCTTGAATAGTAGGAATACAAGGAAAACTTATTTCTATTGCAACTTTATTGATAACTGTTTAAGCTTCAACTCATAAATCTTCAACATTTATACCGATTACATCTGTATGAAAACCAGGATTTTCTCATGAAATCTTGTTTAAAAACATACCGTTGATCAAAGCAATTTAAGAGCTGTCTCGCTTTTAATATAAAGAACTTATTGACAAGTACAATAAAAGACTACAAGGGCTGGTAAGTAAAAGGATACTTGCACTTCACCCGCACTTTCTTTCCCAGCCGATCATTACAAGTGATTTCAATCATTGTTGAATTTCGACCTAAGTTGGATCAAATACAAATAGCAAACATTAATATATTGACAATTAAATAATAAAAATGGGTTTACTTAGTATATAGTACTGCAAGTCACTATTAATTTGCATAAAAAACATAAAAAGACTGGCTTTTTCCCATGCAACTTAACTTGACGTAATATAAAAGAGGAAAGAATACCCTAAGATGCATTAAGCCTAGACATTTTCTCCTGTGTGACATAATTTTCAAAATGAATTTCTGCTTTTATTAAAGTGTATAACGCTAGGCTTACGTTTAGATCATGTTTGCTTTATAAATTTGACGACGTAAAAAGGATTTCAAAAGGGGTTAAACGTGCATAGAGAACTTTTAAAAATTTAAATTAAAAATCTTTCACTCATTTTGTGTATTCGTTAACTTACTTTCTTACAGAACGTATTCACCACTTCTGAGCTTCGACTTTTCACTTCTTGAATGTCGTCTAACTGAGTCTGTTGTGTAAGCGTTAATGCAGTGTCCTTCCTTGCAAGTGACGTGCCATTTTGTGCTCTCATATACCAAGTACCTTATTTCGAGGAATGTCCGCTGGACAGCTATAATGAAGCGCAACGAAGAAATCAAAATGGCATCGTCATTCGGAGCAAGTTTACACAGTGGATACAATCACCCTGCTACAAGGAGCTGGCAAAGCACGAACACGGAAATTACCAGCAGTAATTTAATCTACCCTCTCTTTATTTCGTAAGTACAATGAAATCGTGTCCATTTATTCAATAAAATTCACGTACAGGCTAATCGAGGCAAGACAGCACATGCACAATGCTTGACAATGCAAAATCACGCTCTGTCACGAAAAGTCGTGTAGACGGAGGAGGTATGGAAATTCCTTGGTCAAGCCATATATATACTTAGAGATCAGCCGTTAATAATATTAATATGTATATTGCGTACCAAACAGTTTGAAAGTCGGAAGTAATTGCACAACTGCAATAATAAATTTACTATGAAACTTACTGTTCTTATAGAGACGATGCTGATGCACATGAAGCAATCTCAAGTCTTCCCGGGCAATTTAGGTATCTGATATATTTGTATTTCATTCACTTTCTCTGCTTTTTAAGAAATTATTTCCAACTTTTCGTTCATTGTGGCTTCCAAGCGGTGATGGGTCGAATTATCGGGGCAACCCCATCCCACGTATTGATGTAAATAAATTGATTGTTTGATTGATTTGGAGAGAATTCCAGTTCATTTTTTTTAGCATGAAATAAAGAAAGATTAAAGATTCCTCCTCCTCCCAGCCCATCATGAATATTTTTGAAGAGCTTGTAGAAGCTAGAATTGTTTGAAACAGATTTCCCTAGTGGCACAATCAAACAGACGCTCTACCCAGATCTAGGTAGTGACACATAATCAGTGTGGAATTCATTTTACGTGCTTGTTTCTCAGGTGTCATTTTGCGGGAGAGTCAATGATGGGGTCATGAAAAATATAATTTTTTAACTCAGGCTTTGGTTTGAGCTGGGGTTTTTCCCAATTGATGTTTTCAAGTTTTTGAGCTTGGAAAATTTCCACTATTGTTGTTCGTATCAACCTCCTCTTCAGCCATCAATAGTTGTCAGATATCCTATCACTTAATAGATTAGATGGTTTGGAAAACCTTGTTATGTTCTGATACTAATCCTAATGGGTTATTCCAAAAAAAATCCACACCCCCACGACGGAAGGCACGGTTTTTTGTCCCCTCATCCACCTGGATTTCCAAAACTGCTTGAGCCCCCCTCCCCTCAGGATTTCCAAGTTCGAAGACCTCCCCCCCCCCCACCCATCTGGATGTCCATAAAATTGTTAGATGCCGTGATTTTACTTTACACTCAATGTAGAAGAATCCTTTTAGGCACTTAGATGATCTTTTTATTACATAAGTTTCAATTTTCCGTGAATTCTGTGTTTGTTGCGAACGTTAAGATTCCATTTTCACATCTTCTTCAACAGGCTTACGCTTGTTGCAAATAAGCTCGTATTTGAGTGGACTTCTCTTTTTTTCTAGAACAGGCAAAATGTACAGCAATATATACTACAATAAAGCTCAAAACTAACTATGTTCTTGAATATTGAATGGTTCTCTTCTTTGTCGATAAAAAATAACTGCAAAAGAAAGAAAAAGGACACTTAGCGGGATATTACATGACACGCTGTACCACTTGCCACAACACTTGCCTTTCAAAATGGCCACCAAACAATCACGAACAACCACGCTTACAAAATGTACTTGTAAGGCCTATTTAGTGGCAAATCACCCTGAAATAGCATTAACCTTGGAAAAATGTATAATTCGAGGTAAAATAATTGTTTGCTTTACTTGAACTGAGCGCTTTTTTATGAATTATGTGGTTCTTCTTGATATCTTCAAGTTATCACACGTCGTTTCTATAAAAGTAACGAGGGTGAGCCTATGGATGGAAACTTAAAATAAATGTGGTAAGAGGTCTGTTAGTTTGAAAGAATAATAAAATTTGAAAAGGCAAAGCAATTTTTTAAAAACTTATCAAGTGAAGCGATTGAAACATCAATGAAATCAAAAGTTATGCCCAAAGATGTATTTTTAGGTTCAGAGCCCCCTTCGCGTCTGGATTTGCAGAGCCATTAACTGCCCCTCCCATGAGATTTTCCAGCATGCCTTCCGTCGTTGGGGTGTGGATTTTTTCTGGAATAACCCAATAACAGTTAGTAAATTATATCAGTTTCGATTTTTGATTTCAGAATAGGTGTTAACAACATAGAGAAGGTAGTTTCACCACTGGTAGAGAAAGGGCTCAAATCTGTGTTATTATTTGGAGTTGTCACAAAACTAGACAAGGTACATTGCTGCTTAAAGGAGCTGTGTCACGAAATTCAGACAAATTACTAGGTAATTACAAAATGCCCATTAAATTAAGAGAAACATAAAAATAACCGCTTAAAACATTAAAGGAAGTTTAAAATAACACAACAGAAACAGCAGATTCCACGGATGGGCAAAACTGAAGAAGACTGAAATGGATTGAAATTAGGGTTTTTGAAAACTGTTCAGCCCAACAGTTTTTCAAAGTTGATCCCTGCTGCTTGCAATTTCAAAAATAATGCTGAGGAGACATATTTGTTTGTCTCAGATCTCTGATTTTGTCATTTACTTGTAATTTAATTCTTTGCTTACTTTAAGTTCCATAGGGATTGAGGGCGAGTAATTGGCAAAATTAAACAAAATAAGCTAGACTGCTGTGACACAGCCCCTTTAAGGTGATTCCCTGGTTTTGCATTGCGCATCTGTTACTGCGCATAACAAGATGGCTGCCATAAAAAAGAGCATGTGAAGTAACATTAATTAAAATAAAGTTGACTGAAGAGAAACGCTATTGGAATTTTTGCGTGGGGTTATTTCTTGCTGAGGTGAGACTCAATGTGTTGGGAATGTGCATAACATAAGCAGTACAAGTGTTGCTGAGTTCAACTTCCTCACGGAGAGCCACGCGTACGATAATAGATGTTTAACTTGTGCTTACTCACTTTGATTTTCATTTAAACACTTTTTTTATCACATTGTGTCCTAAATGTGATTTTCTCCATGTAAATTCTGTAAAAACGGATTTTTTAATACTTTCTTGCCCCTTTCACATACATTCTATTTTGAAACTCGCCCCAGTCCTCTCTCAAAAATCGGAGAAAATGCATTTGGTACGCACTTTCTGCCGCTCTACCGCAAAAATGAGTACGGTAACCCCCATTTTTTATTTCATGATTTAAATAAGGACAGTGCTTCCTTTCGATGAGAAAAAAAACGGCTCAAATCTATGTTCAATTTTTTGGCAATTTACTAAATTGTACGGATTGAGCTATCATGGGTCGAATAGCGCGTGCCTAATTTAATTCTATTTTGAAGCGTAAAGTAAAAACAAAGGCATTTTTCTGGTATGTAAGTGGATAAACAATACATTAAAGTCAATTTCTGTGCGATATCATGTGCATCATCGAAAAAATCTCTCCTTTTTGTCTAGTTTTGGGCTGCAAGCAGTTTTTGTCAAAGGGTCCTAAATAGCCATATTTGTCAGCATTGTGACGTCAAAACGAGCATGGTGACCCCCGCTTTTTATTACTTTTTTATCATCTATCATTAGGTTCTTTTACTAAGGAATCACCTTAATTGTTATTCTTGTAGAAAGCTGCTCCTGGAATGAAACATAAATATTGTTCCTTTGATAGCTGCAGAAGTAACATTAAGGGTTGTCTATCTCCTTTAGAGTGAGACTGGTCATAACGCAGACAGTGATGTATGTCCTGCTATCCTAGCCACAAAAAAGCTGCATTCATTGTACCCTGATCTACTTATCTGCTGTGACGTATGTCTTTGTCCATACACAAATCATGGCCATTGTGGTATGTTCACAGGAGATGTTTTCAATGTAACTTTGCTAATAACATATTGCCTTTTATTTTAAAGGAAAAATGATGTTTTCTGCAAAGTTTTCAATGTAAATTCTTAATTATTTTATATTTTCACCAGGCATTCTTAACAAAGATGGATCTATCAACAATCCAGAAAGTATCAAGAGACTTGCCGAAGTATCTTTGGCTTATGCCAAAGCAGGTATGAAGATTTTGCAGACACTTTATTATTTTTTGTGGAGCTTTTAGTTTAATGTATTAATTCCATATGATTTTCCGAAAAACTTTATCTTCTGTTAATCTTTTATGCACTGTTTTTTTTCTTCCCATACAATCTTTAATCATTTTAATCAGTGACATGTAAAATTAAAATATTTCCTACATGTAAATTGAGTGGCCTTCCAAGATTAGCTGTAGCTACCTGCAGGCCTGTGCACTCTTGTAAAACACAATAAGGGAAATAAAATGTTGTTGTTGTTATTGTTTGTTATAAATACATATGCAGCATCTAGACTAGTAACCAGAAGGGCATAAGTTCCACTCCTGTTGGGAGTAATTGGATTTTTTCCTCCAAACCACCTGCGTCATTGACTGAAAAACGTCTTTCTTATGTCCTGTTTCTTTTACTGTACACTGTAGGTTGCCATGTAATAGCACCATCTGACATGATGGACAATAGAATAGCTTCCATAAAGGACATTTTACATAAGAATGGCTTTGGAGGCAAGGTATTATACTAACTATCTTATGTTTGTTTACCCTAGAACAAGTTATTCTTCTTCTTGTTTTTTTTTCACAATGGCCAGCCATTTTAAGAAAGGTGGAATAATATCTTGCATAGGGCAGTTTAAAAGCTTGAGCCACTACCATGTTGTCCTTTCCTTCTGAGATGATGAGCATCTCTATTTCAAATGGAAGTCCACCCCCTAGGTTTCGAATCAGCTGCCTCCCAACAAGGCGTCGAAACTGACTAACTTTTTTCAAGACAATTGATAAAAAAAAGTACAATTAACACTGGTTAGTGCTATTGTGACATTTCCAAAAGTTTATTCTATTCTGTTATGAATGACTGATCAGTAAATTGTTTTGGTTTCGTATATAGGTTGCAGTAATGAGCTACAGTGCAAAGTTTGCCTCCAGTTTTTATGGTCCTTTTAGGTTGGTTACAAAATGTAATATATTATTAGTCAATAAGTGTTATCATTTGATAATACTATTATTAATTAAATGTACAGTGAAACAAGCTGGGCAGACTGTGCCTAATGATGTGTTGTAAGATGTGAAGGAGGCAGTTTTTCACCTTCTATACTTTTCCCAAAGAAATAAAAACTCATTTGTGCAACTTTCATCAGTCACCGTACAATCCCACAATCACAGAACTGTAAGCGCACACTTAATGGAGTATTTTCTCAAAAAGTTCCGCTTCCTTCTATCATCTCACTTCTAACTTACTATCTATTGTCTTGACATTTGAATGACTCCGTAAGCATTCCTTTTCATTTCCACAGTAGTAGTATAGTCATTAACTATGAAGAACGTGTAGCTACTATATAAACACGTAAGACTACAGTTACACAGTAGGCAACGACTGAATTGTCTGGATGTGTTTATGGTGGTACCATGGTAATCAATTCTCAGTACGTAAATGTACTCAGTTTCATACACTGTAGTTCTCATTACTTCCAGAGATGCAGCTAAGAGTGCACCAGCCTTTGGTGACAGAAGATGCTATCAGCTGCCACCAGGAGCTAGGGGCCTTGCAGCTAGAGCTGTGGTAAGTTCTAGTAGGCAATTGCATTTAAAGTATCTACGCAAGCACGTCATTCAACCACCCCATCCGATCCCCCCGTAATCGTAACAGTATACAGGACACATCTATGTGAAACTTGTACAAATGACCAAACTCATCATCAGTTCTCAGTTACCAGTACCAAGTGGCCAAAGATCTTAATGGTGCACAGAAAGTCATAGGTTCAGCTTCTTTCAGGACACAGCTTATTTGTTTCTCTTTCACTTGTGACAAGCTGAATATTCGATCCTTTTGTTTCATGATCAAGGTCAAGGTTTACATCCTTCTTTTTTGTTTCTTTCATATTTTATTGGTCAAACAATTTCTGTTAATCCATATCAAGTTTTAAGCATTGATAGAGATTTGATTCTGCCTGGCTTTCTTCAACTAGCATAAAGCATAGCCTAGATGTTCTTTTTACCAGAAGCATATCACCCCTTAAATGCTTCTGCTTGTTACCAATATGGTTGTTTAGGAGCGGGATGTTCAAGAAGGTGCAGATATGGTCATGGTGAAACCTGGGATGGCATATCTTGACATCGTGAGACAGACGAAAGATAAGGTACCATGAAGCTTTTATATTGTTGATTGTCAATGAGAACTGTTTCCTTCAGAGATCCCAGGGGTTTTGAGAACTTTGTCATCTACTTTACTATCATCATCAGTGATTCAAGATTAATGCCAATTTTTAGTGACTGGGTTCCCTCTAAATACAGTGTATATGAAAACCTAAATTTCTCAACATTTGGGGTCCTAAAGGAAAACTTACTGTCATACTACCCAGCTGTAAACACCTCAGATAACTGAAAAATGTTTATTGTACTATGACAAATTACAATAAAGGTCAGGACACACGAACTACCAACAAAACCACAAGCTAATTAATGTTGTTGCCTGTGGTTTAGTCTTCCCACATGTGATTCGCTTTTTCCTTTATGGCTATTTGTTTCACTGGGTAACATGTGTTTAGTTGCTATTGAAAACCATTCCTTTTGAACACCTTTCTTGTATTCCTGCAGACGACACCACCAACTCAATCTTGGGTTGAGAATGTACAGTGATTTTTGCTCAAACCTATTTCACTGTGTTTGCTCGCTAGAGTAGAATGCGGGAAAGGTCGGTTGGGTCTTCAGATTGAGGTCTTTTATTTATTTACTTTTTTGTTTGTTTTGATGTGCAGTATTATTTGTATCTATTATCATATTAATAATTATATTCAATTCAAAATTATTATTTTCTTTTTTAACTCCCATTTCTCTATAGTTTCCTGATATACCTCTAGCAATTTATCAGGTGTGTAGACAGTACTTTTATAGGTCATTAATAACGTTAACAATGGCCAGTCCTTTATATACATTGTAGGTCAGATGACCACATAAAACTGAATGGCTGCTACCAGTGTAATGTATAAAACATGGCATTGTTAATAACACATTAAATTGAAGCTTTTGTGATGCACTATGCGCAAAGATAATTTTTCCTGACTCAAGGGTTATATCAGAAATGAGATAAAGTTAGTTTTATAACCTGTGGGAAATCACCTGAATCCCCCTGTTTTTTATAAACCCACTGTTATGGACAAAAGAAGATGGAATGGGAAACATTGAAGACATCTGGAAGTAATCCCCCACTAAAATACCCCTTACCTTTTACATTCTAGGCACCATCCCCTCAGTAACACCCTTTTTTCCAACTAAATTGATAAACCTGCATTAATTTTATGTTTCACCTCTAACATGGATTTGAACAAGTGTAAAACTTGATACTGTTTTGATGCAAGATGATTAAACTGCTGCAGGTTTCAGGGGAGTATGCTATGCTGTACCATGGAAGCAAAGCTGGAGCATTTGATTTAAAAAAAATAGTGATGGAATGTCTTACATCAATGAGAAGAGCAGGTAAAGCTATGCGCAAGCGGACGCAACAACTGCCAACATTGTTCCACCCACAATGTTGGGAGTTGTTGCCTGCTTTTTGGCAGTGGTGTGCAAACGGATGCAACAACTCCCAACAATGTTGGGACCTGCAGTGCATCGTGGGAAGGATACAACCCATAAGACTGTACACCATGTGTAAGTAATGCGCATGTGTGGCCTTAATATTGTTGGAAGAGCTTTGCAAATGGATCCAACATTGTTGCGCTACGCTTTGGAGATCACGGAACAAAAGAGATGTTGGGAGTTGTTGGCTGAACAGTTTGACTGGTTTCAAACTTTGCGCAACAATATGTAACACGGTGTGCAAACAGAGGCAACATGTAACATCCAACAATGTTGGGAGTTGTTGGCCAACAATGTTTCGTCTGTTTGCACGCAGCCTAAGTCTTAAATAAAACGATGTTCTATTTTATGCAGTAATGGGTTTTAAGCAAAGGTATCATAGAGGGGTGATTAGTGAGCTTTCCATTGAGGAGGGGAAGATTGTCTCAGCACCCCACAGAGTTCTGTCCTTCATTGGCTCTGCTTTCATACAGTACATACGGTAGAGCAGGGCTAAGGCCATTTGAGAGATTAAGAATAATGCAAAAAATAATACACTTTTTTGGAAACATCAAAAGAAACCAAATAATTACATGGTGAATACACTTTCAAATGTCATCTATTTTTACTTTTTAGGTGCAGATATCATCATCACTTATTTTGTTCCTCAATTGCTGGACTGGTTAAGTGAAAACTGAGGATCAGCTGGGCAAATGGAAAACAGATAATGGTCATGTCAGCTTGGCACCACAAGATACACTCACATAACTCACCTTTCTAACATATAAAATCAGTAGTTAGGCTGTTTTAATGATATTTTGATGATAATTTCTTTTTTAACAATAGCCCATTTTCGAGTTTGCTATGACCGCTGAATTAAAAAAGTGGAGACGCATTTTTTACAGCCTTAGCCTCCATCTGAAGTAATATATTCACAAATTTCAACGAGAAAAAGACCTGTTTATTACTCTGCCTATTGTGTATATTCAAATTTCAAACACTTACTTGCCAGAATTTCTGAATATTTTACTTTAGGTTGAGGCTAACCCTGTATGAATGTGTTGTTAGCGTTTGTTTTCAGCCGCAATTTTTAATTCGAAACTGGACTATTGTGTTAAATAGTTGTCGTAAATTTATTATTTTTAGATCACTTGATTATGGAATTGTGCATGTGGCTAAATAATTTTGCTTGGCACAATAAAATAAATGAATGTTATTTTGTTTGTTGTAAATCATAGTTAACTATTTGGACAGTAAAAGAATGAAAGACATTCTTCGCCTTGGCCATGGATTGCAATTCCCAGTCTTTAGTGGATATTTTTATTTGTGTTCAAGAGAAAAATACATACAAGGGTAAAATTTGCACTTTATTTAATAGAAAACTGTAATATTTCTTAGAATTTATAAAGGAAATGTTAGGTTAGCAATACTAGGCAGGCTGGAAGTATATGAATCACTTCCTGGTAAGCTGAAATATGTATGGCGAATGAAATTTCCTTACATTTCTAGCTAGAGAATATCAATTTAATATCAGTTACCTATGTTCTAGTATTTAAGTGCCCTGCTTTTTTCTCTCCCATCCTCAGAGGCCCAGAGGCAGCTACAAGGATAAAATTATTGGTATTGGATATTTATTTTAAAAAATTGCTACATGCAAAGTTTGCAAAAACAGTGGAAGAGATATTTTCTGGCCAAAATTTGGCCAGAAAATATTATTTAATAAACTCATACCACTGAGTTTCACCAGTTTTATCTGGTTTCATCTACAGAAGAAAAGTCAAAACTACCAACAATTCATGGTAGTAAGAACTGAGGATAAAATATGAGGATATAATTTGCTAATTTGTTGTAAGCAGATATTTTATATTTTACTAAAAGTAACAAAAATAAAATAAATTTTGCAATTGAACACTTTATTTGCTTGTACCATCATATTTTATCAGCCCTCAAAATGGTATCTAAGTAGCATTCCAATATTATACAGAGCTTAACCAAGTTTACTACGTCACTCTAACTTTCATAAAGGGCTGCAAAGTAAGGATACTGTAACTTGAGTCATCTGACACCAAGTCCCTCATAAAACAAGTCTAACTCTTGAAGTGAATCACACTATTTTAACCGCCCAATACATCAGGCAGTGAAGATCATCAGTGAGAATTTAAACCAAAGGAAGATTAGGAGAAAGTTGAGAAAATATTGTACCAGTAATTCATACATTTTACATGAAAATGAAAAGGAAAGTTATTTTTTTTAAAAGTTGCAAAGACGTGTAAGGCAAAAAAAGAAGGGCAACTAGTTTTTCCAGTGTTTAGTGGTAACATTCTTTAACATTAATTATTAGTTGTTTGTTTTGACACAAATACTTGTGTCCCTGATAATAGTATTTACAAATTATTTTTTTTAAAAAATTTGTTATTTTCAAAGAAGTAAAAACACCCATTAAAACACTCAACAGGGCCCTTTAAATATTATTACTCTTTCAAAATAAATATTTTCAGCTTGAAGCTGTAAATGTACCTTATTGAATTGTGTCACATTTTAATAATACTGTATTTGATAAAAATCTCCAATGAAAATTTCATGAATTCTCATATCTTTTTGTTAGTAATCCTTTCACTTCTGAACTTTCTGCAACATCCACAGGTAAACAGCCATCATTGTCAGCAATTGAACAATCTGCCCGAGATTGTAAGAGTTCTTCTACTATTGTCAGAAAGTCACATGTGGCAGCTGTAATTTACAAAACAAAGTTCTTTAACTCCCAATACCAATGTACAAATTCTCCAAACTGATCCCCATGCATTTCCTTTAAAAATTAGTAGAGAGAATTTAATAAAAGATCAAGGCATTTTCTTTTTGGTGATCATTTATTAATTCTCATAACTTTTTCTCTTGATAATGTATCGATATTATTAGGAGGAAATTGATGTTGGTCGCTATTGGGACTTGAAGGGTTAACAAGTACTCAACCCAACAGCACTCTACACCAAAATTACAGAAGAATTTTTTTCTTTTTGTTTTGAAAATACATTACAACAAACAGACAAAATGAAAGGCTACTGAAGACAAAACACCGTAGGATTTCACCCACAGAGTCGCAAGTTTAGGCGACATACTAAATGAATAGTACCATGCAAAATTACTGCTGATGGGGCTACATTTAAATGGTCATGTAAAGAAATTTTTCTTTAGCAGATTAACAAGGAAGGACTACACACTAAATAAATACAACTGTCACTATGAAGTACAGCTGAAGAGGCTTCTTTTAAATAAATAATTTATTGTCTTTTCGTATGGCTGGATTTGTGATGGGGCAAGATGAAACAAATCCTGTTTTCTGGTTGGCTACCAGAGTGGCAAGATAGGGAGCAAGGCAAGCCATCTTGCACACCCTGGATTACCCTCTTTGTCCAGCAAAAGCGGATTTTGTTTTGGCCATTTAATCAATCCTTTACTGATCAAGCTTGTTTGGTCGAGATGTCCGAATATTACCCATGTATTTTCATTGACCTCGGCTTCATCTCAGTCCATAAAAATGCAAAAGGGACTTGGCCAACAACCAGCTATCTTGACCTCTTACTTGGTCAATGATGCATAAATAACATACAATTTTGTCAACAGACTCAATTCAAACTGCATTACACATCTCTATGATTGACTCCGGGAGTGAAAGAATCCATGGGATCCCTAATAATCAGGTATCCACGTATTTTAAACAGAGTTAGTCTGTATTACTTGCATGCCTAATTGTCAGCAGTATAAAAACCTCAGCTCTCACTTATTTGGATTATATTTTTTATGAAACATTTCTTCCATGTAAAGATTTTGACTCAGGTTTGGATGCTCAATCATTCAAGAGAGCAAATGGTAGCTTTACTCAAGTCATAAAATTAATCTTACTACATATGTTCAAATGTTCTCTTTTACCTTTTTTTTTTCAAACAACCTCTCCATTAACCATTCATTACTTAGAAATGGAACACTACCAAGGCTGCAACAAATTCTCCAATGTTGTGGGCATAAACAAAGAGCAAAATGTACTCACCATAATGTAGTGGTGTTTGTCCATCTAAATCCTATTTTTTTCAAAAAAAGGTCTCTGTTAGAGACTATCTGAAGATGAAGTTTCGCATACACACTTTGCTGATAATTTTAGATTATGTGATAGGTCTTTGCTTTACAGTGCAATGAAGTTCACTAGCAATGAGGAAGAGAGGCAAAAAGAAAATAATACCGAGAGCATTTTAAGTTTTGCATACATGTTTCAGCAGACACTTCTGCCCTCATTCAGTGCTAGTTAAAAGTTATTAAATAGGAGGAGAGATATACATAGCGCATATTTATTGCCAGAATGAAGACAATAGGAGGAGATTAAGGGAGAAGGAAAAACCTCTTGTTCCAATTTTTCTCATTTCAAAATTTTCTTTTGTGTACATGACCAAAATTAAGAAACTGCAAAATTTCCTTATGTAAAAAAAGCAAATGTTGTCAATGTAAAATTGCACACAAAGTCTTGGACAGTTTTCCTGTTTTTGTCCAGATTTCACTAGAAAACAACTTGAGTATTGTACAGTTGTTTTTCAGCGTGTGTGCATGTCAGTGGTCTAGAGGTTGATTTTCAAAGGGCTGACATCCTTAAGGGTACCCTTGAGGGGGGAACTTAATGCACTTATTGCAAACTTTACATGAACGTTCCTACTACCTGTGTGTTTATTTTTGCTTTGTTTTTTATAAGATATCTCACTACATCCTTATGGCCTCTGTCACAGGCCCAGTGAAGCAGGGTCATTCCCTAGGATATAGAAGATAAAGATACTGAATATACAATCACCCAATATCCTTGAGTGCCCTATAATTTATGGGCAAATGTACTCAACCTGTTATCCTGGCATCATTCCCTCTCTATGAAACAAAAAGCCTGATTGAAGATTAGCAGCTATCAAGTGAACCAAACACTTCTTAAGGTGGCCCGAACCTATTTATATGCATGTTAGTTATGTTTTTAATTCACGTTTTTCAGAATGAACAATTCAACCGATTTCTAAGATGTTTGGCATCCTAAATAAATAATAACGGAACTCTAAGAAAATGTTATTTATTTTAGGTATAAAAGATAAAAAAACATAACAAAAACGCATATAAACAGGTTCAGGCCACCTTAAGTGGAGCAAAATGATCCCTAACAATCACAATATGATCCAACAGAGAATGAAAACATATCAGATTTCGATGCAATACTCTAAATTTGCTTTAAAATTAAAATTCCACATTAAGAATAAAAATCAAAGCTAACTATTAATAAGGAGTTAACCAATGTTTTCTTAATTACCTGGTCATCTTGAGCATTGATGTCTTCTCCTCTTGTTAACAAAAGATCCAATTTCTTCACATTTCCCTCCTTGCACCAATCAAACACTGTCTTGTTAGCATCACTGTATAAATAAATCAGAGACGAGAGTGGTTATTCTTCATTTTCTCTTACACAATTGTGACCTATCATTTTTTCTCTTTTTTGATGAGCAATAACTTTCTTTATCTAGAATAAATAATAATAATATCATTACTTATTCCCTATGCAGAGAAAGAAACAATCAATCAATCATGTGCAAAGCATGTATTGATAAATTTTATCATATTGGTATTTTAAGGAATCATTGCATATTTGCATGTATACAAGTTGTTCCTGCTCCTAAATAGGTATGGGAACCCCCCAGTTTTATTTCAGAATTTAAGTTTCTAGAACACAAAAAACCAATCGGAAACATTTGACAAAACTCTCACACACTGCCTGGGATGGCCAGGAGATTCCAGACACTAGACTGGCTGGTACCACTTAGCCATAAGTCCTCATGCAAGTAACCGAGTACCTGTCATGCGGATTAGGCATTGGGAGCAAGAAAACCAGAGCAAAACAGCACAAATAATGAACATTTCAGTGCATTTTATCACAGGAACAACCGAAACCACTAGCACTGCCCTTCTGTTGGAGGAGTCAAGCTATAAGAAGTTAACAGGGATAAAACATTATGCTGTTGCTGATGACCATAGCTTGCTGACCAATGATAATGTTATCAATTATCATTATCATTATCATTATCAGACATTTGTTTGGTAACCCCATGCTAGGATCAACTGAGTGACATCCATGAAAGTTAAGGTGATAAAAGTTTATGGACATTGTTGTCAGCCACCTCAACTTACCTGATAATTTCATCATTGCCACCATCTTGTCCCCTTAATGTACTAACTGCAAGGCCCATTGTTTGTTTTTGAACGGGCTTTTCATCTTCTTTTACAGTCTGTGAATAAAGTTGAAAAGAGGTTTAAATTTCTTTTCAAATTTAAATCTTGATCTACAACAAACTCTTTGATCCATTTCTTCAAAGCCATCTTTGACTCTAGTCTTATGCTTTTATGACTGTTTTTCAGTAACTGAGATTGATTTGTACAAAAGGTAAAGGCAATTCAGGAGCAAAAATTACCAGTCCTGAGTTTTTATTACCATTTTCCAATACCATCAATCAACTAGCTTGCCCATGCAAATGATAAAAAACTATGGAGATCAGATTTTGTTCAGTACCAGCATTCCTATTCATCTTCATGTAAACCTATCTTACCAAGTCATCAGTTACAGCATATTTTGCCTCCCATTCTGGGTCAGTTTCAAATAGCTCTTGGATATAAAGCTCCACGGCTTGTTGTTGAGGCATATCACCGAGCTTTTTCCACGAGTCCCTGTTGTTTTGAAAATATAACAAGTTGAGAACACACCACCTCTCCAAGATACTCTCATTTTGCTGTATTAAAGGCAATTAACAAATAGAATGATACATGTGGAGAGAAGAACTCAGAAAAAAATTATGAGTTCTAGATGAGAATTGAACCCACCACCTTCCAGACACTAGTCAGATGCTCTAACCACTGACCTACTAAGAACTCTGGTGATCAGATGGTCATTTGTGGGCTGACATAACCACTGCATCTCACAGTCACATTATGTCGAATTAACACACTGATGAAAAAGTCAAGAATGGTCATGAAATTTGATCTGTATGGCACATTGATGATTAATCGCGGCAAACATATTTTGATTTTGTTCATTTATAATGCCAGTAAGCATAAATTATCTAAGGTACTTATAGAGAATGCGGCAAAACTTGTAAGTTTTGTCATGCACATTTTTAACATTTTGATTCAAATCAAATGATTGAATTACCATTATGGGACACAGTAATCATGAACTTAGCACAATAAACATGACGTACTACCTAAAAAATGTCTCATTTTACACCCCTACCTCCTTATGACAGCCACCCTCTCCACAACAGCCACTTTCCTCTGTTCCCAAGTTGGCCTTTGTGGAGAGGATCGACTGTCATGGCTGGTGCACGATATACCAAGTGAAAAGCAAGTCTTGAGTTACATCACAAAGAACACAACAATGATCCCTAGCCCTTACACAATAACACAATAAACTTCACACAATAGTACAAGACAATAGTGCATATATTGACTTGGTATATCGGGCATCACCCACCGTAGTAGTATAAATAACAACTCTTACCACTTTGCTCTTCCCACTACATCCCAAAACCCTGGTCTAGATGTGTGACAAGGTCCTTCTTTTGCCTTTCAAATAAAAAGAACAACGATGAAAAATACAAAAGTGTTGATCAACCGTTTCATAATTAAGCGGAGTAAAGACAACTTCAACAGGTTGGGGCACATAAGACCTTATATGTTACAGGTCAAATTTGATTTCACGCTTAAATTTTTCACCCTAGGTTTATTCTCAATTTCCTTTGCCTTCTAGGGCTAGGAAACATTGGAAATGAGAATGAACAAAAGGTTAAATCAAAATTAACCTGAAATCAAATTTGGCCGGTGACATATTTTGCAACTTATGTATGCCCGTGGTACACGGTTTGTAACGGTTAATCACTTTTTCATCGTGTCCGGGAGAAATCACGAAAGTAGAACCCACACTTTTTTTCCTATTTAGTATCAACATATGCTAAAGGGAAAGCGCTTATCTGTAAAATTCATCTACTCTGGAGCGAAATTAAAGACGAAATATTTTGAACCAAACTTAAGCTTAAGCTTAATTGAGCTTATATGACGTGAGCAAACGTACACAAGGTTATAAGAAAACAAACCTGCTTAAAGAGAGCGTAAAAAGTAAGCCTCTTTTCATCGCTCAAGTTTTTCATAGTCCTAACAAACTCTGTTGCTGCTTGAAAGAGCTTCTCTAGGTCGTCTGCGTCGAGCACAACTTCGTCTTCAAAGTACTCAGCAGCCGCCATGTTGGATTTCTGTGGTACTTATTGAGACTGCTGAGATAAGGTGGGCTCATTGAAGGGTCACGCCATCTCTGGCAAGTTTGCGGAAATGAGTCAAATGACTGCAGAACTATTATATCAGCTCGATATCATCATTATCATTACCAGCATCAATCACTGATCAATCTATCATAATATTCTCCATTGCTGTCTTTGTTTTTTTTTTTCCGATGAAGTCTATTCCAAATTTTAGTTTAGTTTTTATTTTGGTACCTGTACTGCTGTAGCTAGGGAGTTTGGTTCGAGCAAGCGCGTGCAAAGAAGGGGCAAACATCGTCATAATGAACAAGTGCCAATTTACCATGGAAACCTGTTGTTTGCATAGAAACTGACAGATGTACAAAGGCTTGCCATTTATTATATGCTGGGATTTTTTAAAATGTATATATTCAGTAAACCGTTTGATAGATCAATAGCGTTAGACGAAAATAATGTGAAACTGAAGAGTGAACATCGCTTGAAAAAACGGCCGCGTTTAGAGGAACGCAGAAAAACGACAGAAAGTAAACTTGGAGAAAAGAAAAATGAGACGGGTCAAGCATTTGAGATGGTAAGTTGGCTACCGACGAAGCAACTGGGAAATGTTTACATAGTTGTCCCTTTCAACTATTAAAATTCGATTAAAAATCATGAAAAAAGCTAGTATGCAGTAAAAAAAAAGGGTCAGTAGGGTTGGGCGTATGTAAATAGTAGTATTACAAGGGTGGAACTTGGTTCATTACATTCCGGCCGTGACGTGGTGAGATTAGGTGGTCAGCAATTTGAAAATGCAATTCTCGGAAACTTTGAAAAAAGTTTCCATTCCATACTACAGCCATGCCTTGTCAAGAGGATCGCTTGGCTGTGGTTAGTATTGAAAAAAAGACAGATGAGTTTAAATAATGAACATTCGTGTAAAATCGCGCCCACACTGCTTAGTTTTTCCCTCGCAAGCATGTGTAAAGCAAAGGCTACCTTATAATTTTAAAGAGATTTAAAAAATCATTTTTGAGCGATGAAAACATTTAGCACAAAGCCATAAAACTGCACAGTCCATAAAATATTACAACCAGTGCATTAACTCTTGCGTTTTTTTTATAAAACCTTTGGATAAAAGCTTACCTACTTTGTACTTCTTCATTCGTTGTACTGCATTTCAAAGAATCGTCAAGAGCTATGAAAGTTCCTCGTTTTCTTTTGTTTTGTCTTCCTTGTGTTGTTAAACAGAATTTTCTGTTATGAGCAACTTGCGAAAAATGGCGGACAATGATCTGTCAATCAACCGCCATCACTCGCATTGATAACTCGCGTCATCGCATTTATCAACGTCGTTCCCAGGGCATCTCTACCATTTTCGCAAGTCCTATGTTATCGATAGACATTCTTGGCCCCGGTACTGTTAAGCTCCTAGTAAAGAGTCCTTTCCATTGAACAAACATTTATGGTTTTTCCTTTTTTCTATCTATTAAGGAAATAAACTGGATCGATGGAATTAGTAGCTCGAATTCATCTATACCTGAGGCAAGAGAAGACACTCGCTCAGAGAGGCAGTTTCAGTCGAACGTAGATGGTAATAGTGTCAGTTTTTTTTTTTTT